ATTTGGGTGCATGATGTGAAATTCAGAAAGAACCAATAAGAAGTTTTAAAAACTAAAACAAACAAACAAAAAAGACCACAACAAAACAAACAAAGGACATTTAAAATGATGGGGAAAAAAGAAGTGAGAAAAAAGATGGATCCGGGCATGGTGATGTACACCTTTAGTCCTAGCTCGAAAGAGGCAGAATCAGGCTGGTCTACATGGTGCGTTCCAGCGCAGCCAGGGCTACATAACAAGATTCTGTCTCCAAACAAACAGGCCAGGCTTGATGGCACATGCCTTTAATCCAGAACATGGGAGGCAGAGGCAGGTGCATCTCTGTGAGTTCAAGGCCTGGTCCGAGTTCCAGGACAACTAGGGCACACAGAAACCTTGTCTCAAAAGCCAAACCAAAGTCAGGCACAGTGGTGCATGCTGGTAATCCCAGCACTCAGGAGGCAGAGGCAGGTGGATCTTTGAGTTCAAGGCCAGCCTGGTCTACAGAATGAGTTCCAGGACAGGACAGACAGGGCTACACAGAGAAACTCTGTATCAAAAAAAAAAAAAAAAAAAAAGCTGAAAAAATTTTAGAGGAGGTTGAAATAACAAAGATACTTGTGCTACCTATAGATTTTCATATCTACGAATAACAGAAGTGAAATCAGGAAATGCAGGTCTGGCTGGACAAATCCAACAATCCACTCAAGGAAGCAGGCTTTGGCTTTTTTGAGTCAAGTGTGTGGAAACTGGCCCTGACACGGCTGTTCATAAGCCGTCTGTCCATTGTAAGGTCCAGGTCAAGAGACAAAACTGGTCTCAAACATTGAAAGATATTCTTAAGAGTCTAGAAATGTTCCTTCTTAGAGAGTCAGGTCCTGAGACGAAAACTGTAGCCATTCTCTTTTCAGCAAAGCTCTAAGTCTCAGGAAAGATCTTTAGGCCCCAAGAAATGATTTCCCTCTTTTTAGTGAGTGTGTGTGTGTGTGTGTGTATATGTGTGTGTGTGCGCGCGCATATGAGTGCAGGTACCTGGAGAGAACAGGAGAGGGTAGCAGAGTCCCTGCAGTGGAATTACACAACATCATGAGCCACCTGATTCGGGTGCTGGGAACTGAACTCTGTCCCTGAAGAGTAGCAAGTCCTATTAAGCTCCAAGTCCTATTAAGCTAAGTTCTAATCATCTCCTTAGCTCCTTATTCTTTGTTTTGTTTTGTTTGTTTTTTAGACGGGGTTTCTCTGTATAGCCCTGGCTGTCTTGGAACTCGCTCTGTAGACCAGGCTGGCCTCGAACTCACAGAGATCTTTCTCACCCTGCCTCCCTGGTGGTGCAACTGAAGGAGTATGCCACCATACCTGGCTATTGATTTTATTCTACTGTATTTGTGGTTGCTGTTTTTTTTTTTTGTTTTGTTTTGTTTTGTTTTTTTTAATCTTTGTAAGACAGAGTTCCTGGATGGTTTGGAATTGAATATGTAAACAGGTAGTGGCTCAGCCTTTCAGCCTTTCTGATCTCTGGTTCCTGATTGCTTCATTACCCTCAGCTTGGAATTTGCTCTTTAAAAAAAAAATCTGGGGCTAGGGACATAGTCCAGCTTAATGGAATTATTTGCACAATGTTCGTGAAATCCTGGAGTCAACTGATCACCAGAACTTCCTAAAGCCAGGCATGGTGGTGCCTACTGCAGTCCCAGGGAGGGGTGGAGCCAGGAGACCGTGAACTTAGCTAGTTCATGGCCTACATTAACTACCCTGTTATTAGGTGAGTGAATAAACAAACAAACAAATAAACCTGGCCAGGCATGGTGGCAGAAGTCTGTACAGAGGCAGGAGGATCAGGAATTTAAGGCCAGCCTCAGCTACAAAACAACTTAGAGGTCTGAATGGACTACAAAAGACTCTTTCTCAAAAATCAGCCAAAACAGGGGCTGGAGAGATGGCTCAGAAGTTAAGAGCACTGGGTGACCTTCCAAAGGTCTTAAGTATGATTCTCAGTGTGCAGCTGTACATGCAGGCAGAACACTGTATACATAATAAATAAATGTCTTTTTTTTAAGCCAAAAAGAATCTGTAGCCATTTGACTTTTATCAGAGTATAAATAGGAAAAAAAAAAAAATCAAAGACTGTATTTCTTCAACACTCTTCATATTACCATATAGAGTTGGATCTTACTTTAAACTTTTATGGGCCCAGAAAGATGGCTCAGCAGTTAAGAGCACTTGCTGTACTTGGCAAAAGACAGAGTTCCCAGCACCCATGCAACAGCTTACAATCGTCCCAAACTCCAGCTCCGAGAGCTCTGATGCCCTCATCTGTCCTCTTGAGGCACCTGTACACACGGTGGTATACATACATGCATGTAGCTGTTTAAATTATCTAATATCTATACCATTAAAGGTACAGGAGGTGTGCACTGAGGTTAAAAAACCTGCTCCCTTAGCGAGGTAACTTTATTTTCTGAACTATATACAAAACACATATTTAAAAGCCTGATTCTAGGGGAGGAGGGAGGGGCTTATGGGGGGGATACAAAATGACTAAAGTGTAATTAATAATAACAATAATAATAAAAAAAAGAAAAAAAATTAAAAAAAAGAAAAGAAAAAAAAAAAGCCTGATTCTACAACCAAACCACTGGTTCTGTAGAAATCTCTGTGTCATTCTACTTAGCTAGTCTACCTTTCTCTTGAGCTCCTTCAAACCCATGAGGGCTCCTCAGCTCTCTTTCCTACAATTACCTGTGTCCTGACAGCTGCTTCTCCATTGTTCCTGCAAGCCCAGGGAGAAAAATGCCTATCTGTTAACCAACAAGCCAAAAAAACCACACAGAGCTCTATCAACGGTCCAACTATAAAAGAAGTCCCTAGCTCCCCCCCCCCCCAACACCCTTGGTGGGCTGAACCATGTCATGATGGGGGGTGGGGCTCCAAGCCAAGTCAGTAGGGGCCAAACCATTTCACCTCTATGGCCACCGAGCCCACTTTGCCTCAGATCACAAAGACCACAAGACCTCTCCCAAGCAACTTGCCTTAAAATAGACAGGACCTTCCCGTTCTTTAGCATTCTTATCTATGGAGGCTTTTAGAGGGACACCCAAACTGCATCTCTTCAGGACACAACTAATGGCATCTGACAAACACAGTATCTATTGAGGCTTTCATATTTTGCTAACAATTAGGTTTTCTATGTATAATAATCAAATATCCTGAAACACATGCACGCAGGCAAACCGTTATATCCACAAAATGAAAATAAAAATGTTTTAAAAATATTTTTATAATTTTAAAAATAATGAAAAAATTTTAAACATATATACATAAATATATACATAAATATATATTAAATGTAGGGGTGCTCCGTCTGCATGGACACCTACATGCCAGAAGAGGGCACCAGATTCCTTTATAGATAGATGGTCATAAACCACCGTGTAGAAATTGAACTCAGGCCCTCTGGAAGAAGAGCCAGCGTTCTTAAGCGCTGAGCCATCTCACCAGCCCTGTTGTATTTTTTAAATGATGGGTATGTGTGTGCATCTGTGTGGGTGTGTTTATGTGAGTGCCTGACAAGGGCCGGGGCATCAGGAGCTGGAGTTAGAGGCAGTTTTGAGCTGCCTGACCTCAGTGCTGGGACGTAATCTCGAGTCCTCTGGAAAAGCAGTATTCATTCTTAACTGCTAAGCCATCTCTTCAGATCATTTACTTTGTTTTATTACTTATTTACTTAGAGACTGACTCCGTCGCTGAGGCTGGTCTGGAAATCATTATGCAGCCCAGGTAGCCTCAAATTTGTGGCAACCTTCATGACTCAGCCTCCCCAGTGCTGGGGTGTAGGGAAGCAGGCTGTCCGCTTCAAGCCAGACACCGATCTTCACGCTAAGACGCCACCCGGGACCTGAGGACCTCCCACAAGCCTCCCGGGCCTGAGAAGATTCACTGCAGCGCAGTGCAGAGCCAGCAGAGCCGGGCCACCAGCGAGACGAGGCGGTGGTCCTCTGAAGGCCCTGTCTGGCCGCTGGCCTCGTGCTGTGTCTGGCTCCATTCAGTGACCCCACGGCTGGCCTAACCCGCTGTAGAACTCCTCGGGCGCCGACCCAGCAGCGCTGACGGACTGCGCAGCTAGGAAGCAGCGCCATCGCGAGGCCAGCCGGTGCAGGGCCGTGCTGGGCGGGGAAGTGGGTGGACCACGCTCCCGCCGAAGTTCACACAGCCCCACTCGCCGGGTCTGCGTCTGGTGCGTCGCACGCTGCTCTATAGGTTTACATGTCAGTTGGGGAAATGCAGGCGGCTCCTTAAGCGACTTCTAAAACGTGCCACACGCCAAATCATCACGTTTAAGTTACATTTCTTCGATCGAGCTTGCTTAACCTGAGGAGGCCGGGGTGGGAGAGGCGTGCAGACGTTTAAGCTTAGCTTTGTAAATATATTATCAAGCCTGGCCCATAGTTAAAAAAAAAAAAAGACTACAAGTTCCAGAATGCATTCGTCACCAATCGCAAGGAGCGGTAGCGGTGGAAGGACCATTGCCTGCTGGGAATCGTAGTTGGCCACTTGTTTGTGAAGCAGGTACAGCGTGAGGGAGGGAGAGCGGACGTAAACTATCGCCACGTGACTTTTCAGATCACGTGGTTGGTCAGCCTACGCGCAGGAGCTGTGATTGGCTGACTGTAATACGAACGACGCCACTAGAGGAGGGCCAAAGACCGGCGCAGGCGCAGAGAGCGTTGAGAGTCTCGGGACCCCTGTGGGAGAGACTATGGCGCTCAACAAGAATCACTCAGAGGGCGGCGGAGTGATCGTCAACAACACTGAGAGGTGAAAACACGGCGGAAGGATCCAGGAGACTCGAAGGGCGGGTGTCCGCCACTGTGTGTGGTGGGCGGTGGGATGTGGTGGGGAAGGAAATTGATGGGGCTCTGGGGGAAGGGGTGGTAACCCCCGGAGGCGGGGCTGGAGGAGTGGGTGGGTCGTGGGGGAGGACCGGGGTGCTGATCAGCTGGGGTGCTGGGTTGTGGTTGGGGAGCAGAATGGTGTCAGGGTTTGGGACGGTGAGTGAGGCCAACGGGTGATTTCTTTGCACCCCTTCCCGAATGGAGTCTTAAAAATAATTGCTCCTTATTGGGCGTTTACTTCGCTGCTACCACGCGGCAGCCACTGCGTCGGTTCTACCCCAGGTAATATATGTTGTGCCGCAGAACTATTATTCACATTTTACGGGTAGAGCAGGTGAGGCCCAGACAGGTTAAATAAGTTGGCTTTTATCACAGTGCTGTAGCAGATAGGAATTGAAGGGGAGTACCTTGGCCCCACAATCTGTAGGCTTAACGACTCCTGTACAGTCTTCCAGTATATTCCAGAACTTCTCAGGTTCGGAGAGATAGGCTGAGGCCCTAGAGCTGGAACTAAATTAGTCTGTCAACTGCTTAACCCAGTGCCTGGCACCAGTGGCCCTTGTAAAGGCATGTCTCTTGCCTGGTTCTCTTGAATCCCTGATGGCCTATGCCAGTCCCCAGAACAGAGGTCTCCCAGCCTCAAGATTCTTTTTTATCCACTGTCCGCTGCACCATCCAGTCTTCCAACTCCTGGTCCTCTTCTCTTTCCTCTTTCTTTTTGTATGTTGAAAATCATGCACTGTGGCCTTGAACTAACTTCTTGAGGGCCAAGGGAGACATGATCTAGGTCAGAGCCTACACCCATCTTGGGACCTGCCCGTTGGGATGAGTCAGAGGAGGAGGTTTGGGGTGACAGCCTGCTTGTGCTGACTTTGTCTGCATAGTTCTTGGGCAGGGTCTGGCAAGCCCAGCATGTGTCTGGGGATCGGTTCTTTAACCTGAGCTCTGTCTTTTCTTGTGTTGGCTCTGTTTCCTCCACACTGAGAAAGGATATTTGGGACGAGGAGGAGACAGATGAATGAAACCATATGAACTTGGACCTTTTTATCATATAATCAGAGAAACCTTGCACTGTTTCTCTTTGGTGTGCTTCATCCAGTTCCTTGGCTGGGCCAGGTATTTTGATGGCATTTGATGACTACCTCCGCCTCTGCCAGTCTCTGGTTTTTGAGGTATGGATTCATTCCTGTAGCCCAGGTTGGCCTTGAACTTGAGGCAATCCTCCTAGCTCAAGTTTTTAAGTGCAAGGAATTCAGGCACGCCCTGCCACAAACCAGGGCTATTTGGTTTCATCGTTTGGGATTGCTTTTCCTTCTCTTTCTGAGTTCTCAGGAGGTATCTGCCCTCCTGGGACTCAGTTCCTGGTTCATAGCTCATTGTTACCAAATCGGGTTCTGGGAAGAACTTCACCCTCAGTTATGAAACAGATGTGTCAGTAATCATTGAAATCTAAGTGCAGCGAACACCTGTAATCCCAGCACTCTGGAGGCAGAGGCAAGCAGATTTCTGTGAGTTCAAGGGCAGCCTGGTCTGCAAAGCAAATACAGGACAGCCAAGGCTACACAGAGAAACCCTGTCTCAAAAATAAATAAATAAATAAAATCTAAGTGCAGTGCTCAAACTTTGATGTTTAAACTAGTGAACATCAATCCTTCATTTGCAAACCACTATTAGAAAAGCTATAAAGTCACTGGGCAATGGTGTCACAGGCCTTTAGTCCCGCCACACAGGAGGCAGAGGCAGGCAGATCTCTGTGAATTCAAGGCCACCCTGCTCTACACGGGGAGTTCCAGGACAGAACCAGAGCTACACAGAGAAGCCCTGTCTGGGATCGGATGTGCGGGCCAGGGAGGTGAGGTGTGAATTCCTAGAGAATTGAGTACACGCACAGACACACATGCACATCTCAAGGGCATTATGTACAGACTTTTCTGCAGCTCCAGCTGAAGAGGCTTGGGTTAAGAGGCTGGAGAGATGGTTCAGCAGTTAGGAATACACACCGTTCTCCTAGAGGATCCAAATTGAGTTCCCAGCATCCATATCCAACAGCTCCCAACCATCTGTAACTCCAGCTTCAGGGAATCCATTGCAAGAAGAGTCTTGTTCTTGACAATTATTTGTTTAATGGTGCTGGGGATGAAGCTAGAGGTTTGACCATGCTAGGCAAATACTACTGAGCTACATCCCCAAGTCCCATTAAATTTTGTCTATATATAAGGTTTTTTGAGATGTTTTCTCTGTGTAGTCCTGGCTGTCCTGGAACTCACTCTGTAGACCAGACTGGCCTGGAATTCACAGATCCACCTGGCGCTACCTCCCAAGTGCTGGGATTAAAAGCCTGTGCCACTACTGCCTGGCATATATTAGATTTTTGAAAAAAACAACAAAACAACGGAAGAGTGGTGGCTGTGATTCAGTTGGTAGGGTGGCTTGATGGCATGCACAGAATCCGGGGTCCCGTCCCTAGCACCTCATGAAGCCAGCATGGTGGCAGAAGGCTATAATCCCAGATCTTGGGAGGTGGAAGCAGGAGGAACTTAGCAAGTTCAAGACCAGCTTGAGCTATGTGAAGCCCTTTTTCAAAAAGGGTTTCCCAACCAGAACACCTCTCACAGGGCCTACAAGCAAACCACAGAGTGAAGCCTAGTGACCTAATCCAGCTGAAGAGATAGAGACAGTTATTCCGTCTGGGTCACTTGGGCTGTAGAGAGACAATGTGGGGAGATGCATGGACCTGGGCTGCTTCCTCTCAACTTGGCTGTGCCGATATTCCCTCACAGCCACTGTTGAGACAATGTTCTGAGTGACTTTGTTCCATCTAGGATGACGCATGACATATCACTCAGGCCCTTTTTTTTTTTTTTTTTCATCACAGCATCCTAATGACCTATGATCATGTGGAACTTACATTCAATGACATGAAGAACGTGCCAGAGGCCTTCAAAGGGACCAAGAAAGGCACTGTCTACCTTACCCCATACCGGGTAAGTTGGGCAGCAGGACAGTGGGTTAGAGGCTTTGCGCTTTCAGAGGGTCATGAGTCTCTCAGCCTGAGCCACGTGACACCAGTGGCCTCTGAACCCTGGGGAATGTAGTGCCTCACTTTGTCTGTTTTTCTGTCACATGACCCTGGATTCTAGAACCACCAAGTTCTTTGTGCTCCTCTCGTGACCTGGGCCATGCCAATTCCGGGGGAAAAAAAAATGTCTCTGAGGTCAGATATAGCTGATGACTTGCCTGGAGTAGCTTGAGGCTCATGTGCACAGTCAGAATGATAAATGTGGTAAACAGGATATGGTAGCAGGGCCACAGTCTCCAGGCCGGGCAGAGAGCCCAGCACAGCCTGCAGAGTGAGAGGTGCCAGGCTGCAGCATCAGCCTCGCCTCAGAGTGACCATGTGGACTCTGATAATACAGAGAAAGGCACTGCCTGTGGCTTCCCACTGGTGAGGTGTGAAGATGCTGGGGACTTAGGGAAGGGGCCATGCCTGTGGCTTC